GCTACCTCCATGATACAGTAGCTACCGGGCTGTATTAATTGTTTAGTTGGTAATGATGTTTGCTTTGTAAGCGGCAGGTCCCGAGTTTGAATCCTGGTGGATTATGTTTTCATTATTTTTTTTTATCAAATGGGAAAGATGCGTGGGAATTTTATACATGGAGAATTATGATGTGGGCGGAAATACTGTATACACTCCCGGAGTGTGCTCTAGTAAATATTTTTATTGTTATAATTATAATTTTCAATATTATGTGTATTGTTTGTTTACTTTTATTGTTGCATGTATTATTGTTCTAGATACTGCATTATTATTATTATTATTATTAATAGTATTATATTGTATTGTTATTGTTTTAGTATATTTTTTTTTAATGAAATAGTACAAAAATAAAAGAATTCTCAGCATCATAACAATTTCTCTTTTTTTTACAGTGTAATGATCAAAGAGAAGATGACGATATAAGCAGTGAATTATTTGAAGGTGAGTTTCTAAGAATTTCAGGTATATGATATGCAAGATATAATGTTGTCATATAAACAGTATTTGTGAGGAATATTTATGAAATTACCTATTAACACTATTTTTTGTCTGGTATTGAAAGATGACTAGCAGTAATTATTGTCCCAGTACTGAAATTATGTGAATGACAATCCTCATCATCGCTAGTAATTAGCTCAGTTTTACATTTTTTAGATCACAGTTGGGCTAAGTGTGGCCCGCGGGCTGCATGTGGCCTGACAGTGATTTTTTTGCTGCCTGCAAAAACACATAAAAAGCCTATGTGTGCAGCCCGCCAACCATCTTTGACTAGAAAACACCTTGTTTTTTTTTTATGGCCCATCACCTTTCATCTATAAAAATCAACAACAACACATCAATACAACATCAACCAACTATTCACTCAATCTTCACTGAACTGATGAGCCTATAGGGGTAATCAAAGTACTGAAACAGCTCTATTATAGTCCACACTGATATTTCTCTTTTCACTGAATATATTGCCAAGGTTTATGCTTGTTCTGTATGATCTCTCAGCAGCATGTGATACGGTTGATCACAACGTCCTGCTTCATATTGAGACAGCATTTGGCATCAAAAGATATGCCCTTGACTGGATTAAATTTTTTCTGAGTTGTAAAGTAGTAGGGTTTCCATCTGCACATCACATCCTTTACTTAATGCTGGTGTACCCCAAGAGGCTAAGTCATTGACCCCTGCTTATGTACTGTAGTTTGTACATTAGCCCACTAGGCAACATTATGGGAAGCTATATCACTTCAATGCTGATGATCTTCAGCTATATCTTCCTTTTAGTCCCTGAAATCTTTCTAGCATTGATTCTTTGCTCCATAAATTTCCCCACTCTTTTACCGATATTCAGAAGTGGGTGTTAGTGTGTACAGTAGGCTCAAGCTAAAGAGAAGAAAACAGTTTCTAGTCCTTGCTTTAAAATACCACCTTTCTCTTGATCAGGAATAATGTATTGATCTTTCGCTAGGGGTACAGGTACCACCATGGAGTTATAAAATTCGAAATCAAGCCATCTAGCAGTGTCTACAAATTCGGAGGTTTCATTTTGCTCATCTGCTATTCTTAACCATCAGGTTACTTAGAAATCAGTGGCGAATCAGAAAGTATATTGATGGGGAAACCTTTCATGCTACTGTTGGGGCTACTTTCCAGGTTAGATTATTGCAATTCTCTGTACACTGGTCGAGTAAAGAAAGATATTTCATACATACATTACATCATTTATATAGCACAGTTTGAAAGATATTCACACTCTTCCAAAACTTCAAAATGCTTCTACCAGACTTAATTCTTAATTGTCTTGTAAAGCTTGTATACAAAATTGTCACTGAGACCACTGTTCTGTAAGCGTATCAATGACAACACTTTCCCATCTGCATCCATCTACTTGTCTTTTCAACATGTTTGGCTGGGTTTGTAGTTTTTGCACTTAATCTTTATTTTTTAACCAATCAATTACTTCATGACTCATGAAAGGATACTATGTTGGTTTTTGTTTGGTGGGGTGGTGGGTGGGAGTGGGTGAGGCTTTACTTGATGGAAATATTAAAGTGGAGGGTATGTTAGTGCTTTGTAATCGCAAAGAATAAGTGCTAAAAAAGTATCAAACAAGTAACAAGTATATGTACTCTCCTCTCCTGTATTTTAGCAGGGCTTGAAATTAAGGGTTATTTGGTCGCATTTGCGACCTGATTTTTTAGGTGCGACAAGGAATTCAACTTTGTCGCGCTCAGTGCGACAAGGTCATTTGATAGCGCGAGTAGATTTTGTAAGCGGCAGGAAGGTGGTTTCCCTCCAAATCCCAATTATTTACAACTTGTACAGCCCATTATTTTCAGTCAGGCTGTACGCAAAACATGTTATCATTCATTTTACATGTACTGTATCAACCAATCAGCATGACTTAGACTGTTAAAGTGTGACGTCGTAAACTAAAACCGTGTCGATGTGCGCTCATCTTATTCTTGGTAAATAAGCGATCACTGTCAGAACGAAGGAGACTGGTATAAAAACATCGGATTGCAAGATTTTTTACTATTTTATTGAGTGCTAACTCTTACCTGTACCTCCTCGTAATTGTGAACGTTTCCTTAACGTATTTGTTCATAAAAAGACTATGTACCGAAATTTCAATCGATCGTATACAGTATTGACTCATACGATGTAAACGGCCCAGATCAAGCAATAATCAAAATTTAACTCTAAATAGATCGTAAATAAATACAATTAGGCATCATCTGGATGATTATATTCAAAGTACTACCTGTATTAAGGCAGACATCTTTTATTGAAAACCAAACGAATTACCTAAACCTCATACATTATGAAATAAGATTACGCTTCTTCAATCACATGGCTGATGATAACAAAGGGTATAAAATACTCTTTGATGATAACCTCAGCCAGACTTCACGGAGCAGCTATAGTTTAACAACATGCATCTCAATGAGCAACATCTTGAAATTTACAAAAAAAACAAACAAACAAATAGGTCTCACAACAAATTTTGAAACTTAATTAAATGAAATAATATAATATAGAAAGCAACTCCTTCACTACCATTTATTTACTGAACGAGCCAGTCGGCTTCTGACCTACTTTTGTTCGTATCGGCGGCGTACAAAGAGTCAAATGACTTTGTGTCTGGCAACCTCGGTGCCTGTCTACCAGGAGGAGCCTGGAATTGAGAAGTTTCTTATTGAATGTAGTAGACGGTAAGCAGAGTTATTTCATGCAACTAGTAATGGGCCTCTATCAAACAATTTATTTCGTTCTTAACAAAGTATCAGCAGAAAGTAAGCAAAATGATTGTTTAATCGTGTTTTGAAATAATATAAAAATTGA